AGCCAATGGCAGGAAAATAGCAGTGCAGAGATGAGCCAGTGCATGTTGGCCATGACAATGGGTGTGGATGACCTCAATTTACCAATAGAGAGAAACACAGGCAGAGTGGATCTGTAGGTGGGATCCATCAGTATGCGGTATACAAGAAACATTTGACTGGGGGAAGTTCAGGGACTAGAGGATCAGAGGAGAGAGTATGGTGCTTTACACAATGGGAACCAAAGAAGCAGGATTGGCTTGCCTGTCAACTGTAGAATGGATGGTGGAAATGTGGTACTTTTATACAATGGAAAGCTACTCAGCTATAAAGAGGGATGGTCACAAGACTCTTGTGGGTAGGTGAATGCAGCTTGAGATCATGCTCATGGGTGAGATTGTTTGGACTCCCATGGGTACACACCATGTTGTCTCCCTAATGTAGAAAACTGAGGGAGTTAGTGGGATCCCAAATGTACAGTGAATGTTGTGGAGGTGAGAGGAAAAGGGGCATTTGACGGGGAAAGACATTAGCTACTGTTGATTTCCTATTGTCTTGCTTTGAAGTCCTGTGTTGTATTTACTGTTTGATTGGCTCTGTTCTGTATTATTTTGTTTGGTTTTAGTCTCTTTGAAGTAAGCAATACTTTTTTTAATTTAAAAAAAAATAGTACTTAGCTAGGGTTTTAGCTCCGTGGTATAATTGCCTACCTGGCAAGAGCAACATTGTGAATTCAATCCCCAGTTTAAAAAAAAAAAAGCACTGGAAGAATCAAATAGATAGAAAAAACTAAGAGGTAGAAGACCTATATTCTGAAAAACCACCAAACATTGATGAAATAAACTAAATTACACATAAATAATAAAGACACTTATAAAAGATTCATGTTTTAAGATTCATGTTATACTAGGAAAGAGCACAAATACTGTAATTTTGAGCAAGAGCAAAGCTGTAGAACAGTGTGGTACTACATAAACAGGATAGAGAATCTAGCAATAAGTTCATATGTACATAGGCAAGTGATTTTCTTTTTTTTCTTTTTTTTTTTTCTTTATCTTTTTCGTTCTTATCGGTACCAGGAATTGAACCCACGACTGCCTGCTTGCAAGGCAGGCACTTATGCCGCTGAGCTAAATCCCCAGCCCCGGCAAGTGATTTTCAACAGGGTACCAATAATATACAATAAGTGAGAAAACTGCATATCCATAAGTCAAAGAATGAAACTGGACATCTATTTTACACCATCTACAAAAATCAACTCAAAAATCTACTAAATGCCTGTTATGGCTTCTGTCTAGATGTTTCCCCCAGTTTCACACAGTCATGGGGGCAGGCTTCTAGAATTTGTGATTGATTCATGGTCCAATGCTGGGATTATGGGTGTGAGTGCTATATCCACCGTAGGGTGGTGTGGCCTACATACAATATAAAAAACGGAAAGAATCTTCTCTCATGCACCCCTGTTTTGCTCTTTTGCTTTTGTTGTCTTCCATCTACTATGAATGATTGCCTCTCTGCCACACCACCCTGCCTTGGAGCCAGCTAATTATATCTCTCTCTTTTTTTATTTTAAGCAGAATAAAACCCAACAATGCAAAGCAGAGCAAAGCCAATCAAAACAAAGCAATGAAAGTGGTACAGAACTTCAAAACAAGACAATAGGTCATCACGGGGCTGGGGATTTAGCTCAGCGGCATAAGCACCTGCCTTGCAAGCAGGCGGTCATGAGTTTGATCCCTGGTACCGATAAAAAGGAAAAAGACAAAAAAAAAAAAAAAAAAAAAAAAAAAAAAAACAAAGACAATAGGTCATCAACAATGGCTATCATAATATATCTTATTATCTTCACAATAATTGTCCATTCCCTCAGACATAGTAAATTTGAATAAAACAAAACAGAATAAAACCAATCAAAAATAGAGCATTGAACAAAACAAAACAATAAATCAGAACAAAACAAAACAGCAGGAACAATATTGGGTTTCAAAAATAAGACAAATCCTCCATATGTGCATATTGCATACTGTCATCCTCCCAATAGTTGCTCATATTACTGGTCTTACTCCTGCAAAGTCAATCAAACAACAGAAGCATTTAGTTGTTTCTGTACCTCAGTTGCTATCAACTCAGCCTGTCCTTCAAATCAGCTGGCTGTTTAGGATTGGGGGAGCAGTGAGTCTTGAGTCTCAGCCCACACACCAGTCAGCTCACAGAAAAATGAACTGGCTTCTCTCTTCCTGGGCCATGCCTGGTTTGCACAGCTTAGGGGAAGACCAAACTAGCATCTTGATGTGCTGCTTTCTGGCCCAGCATGGATTCTGCTCACTCACTGGAAACACAGACTAGCTTCTCTCTTCTGTGGTCTGCATGGCTCATGGGAAAGGCAATTTCAGCCATCTGATTATGGACTCAAATCTCCATAACCTGAGAGCTAAATAAACCTTTCCTTCCTTAATTTGGAGTGTTGAATATTTTGTCTCAGCAACAAGAGAAAAGTAATCAACACAATACCTAAACACAAGACTCAAAATTATGAAACTCTCAGAAGAAAGCAAAAGGTAAAAGTTTCTTGACACTGGTCTCAGCAATGATTTTAGGGATTTGACACCAACACACAAGCAACAAAATAAAAACAAATAATTGAATTTACACCAAACTAAAAATTTTCTACGCATCAGAGGAAACAAAAGAGTGAAAAGGCAGACAAAAATGTGGGACAAAATATATAAGGAGCTCTAACATAATTTTAAAAATCTAATAACTCCATTGAAGATTAACCTAACAACTTGAATAAAATTTCTCTGAAGGAGACACACAAATGCCCAACAGATATATAAAAAATTATTCAGTGTCACTAATCATTAGGAAAATGCAAATAAAAATAACTTTCTAGCTTTTCTAAAGGAAAATACATACACTCTGAACTCCGGGTTCCATGCCATAAGACCTAACTCAACCTTAAAAGAAGACAGTGGCTAAAAGAGGTACAGGACATTCTATGACAGCAGGGAGATTCTATATATAGCATCCTTAACATATAATCTGGTCCTTGGTAAAACTATGGTACAGTTCATCGGGTTCTTCCAGCAATTTTCAGGCATTTTTTGAATACCGACCCTTTTCTCAAAAGCCTTTCTATACTGGGAAGAGACACACATGTACTCAAACATACACACACACACACACACACACACACACACACACAGATATGCACATACATATGAAAATTTATACAAAAAATTTTATATGTTAAAGCAAGCATTGAAAATCACAGCAATAAGACAATAAGAAATTACCTAAATTTTCTAAATGTTTATGTGTCTATTAATTTATTATTCTGCCAAATATGCTGGTATTTATATTCATGCTATTTACGCTAAAGGGTTTTTTGAATGACCTTAAAACTGACCTCTGTGTCATACACAAAATGCCTAGTTAGTTGACATTAGGTGACTAACAGCTAGTGTATAACATTAAATATCAGTCATGTACTGACACAAATGCAAGAGAATTCTGAATGAAATTTTTATCTTAAAAGCAATTCTCCCCCAAAAATCTTACTTCTACTACTTTATAATAAACATGCAAGTAAGAAGTAATTATATTTTATTGACTGTTTTCCTTTGATATTTAAGTTTTCTTCAAAGCTATTTCAGACACTTAGAAAATTATCAAATTGTGCTGAGAAGTAAAAATAGTAAAAGCAATTTTAAACTCACAGATCATATGTGGTATTGGGGCACCCTACTGAAACATGAGACAGTCCTGCACAATGGTAATCCCAGCACTGCAGGAGGCTGAAGCAGGAAGCCTGCAAGTTCCAGTCCAGCTTGAGTAATTTAGCAATTTAGTGAGATCTTGTCTCAAAAAAAAAAAAAAATTAAAAGGGTTTGCAATGTAACTCAGTGCAATGGGCCTTGGTTGAATTCTCCAGTTGTGAGGGGATTGGGGGAAAATTAGTCTCTTCTCACTGTGAAGCATTGGTGGAACAAATCTTTATCACCAGCACCCAGCACACGTCCAGTCTCCACTATACCCACATACTGGCAGTCTCTTGACTGCTACAGCAAACACATTTTCAACAACACGCTGCAGGATTAGCAATAGAATATACAAGTAGGCCCACTCCTCACCAAGCTCTTGCAGGGACACTGAAGCTCATTCCAGAAAGGACATCACCCTTGGGCTTCCACAAAGATGAGATTGCTCTTCTACACTAAAGGAAATTGTCCAAAATTTTCAAACATTAAGTTTAGGTAAATCGGTGTTACTAAGAAGTTCCAGAAAATATAGTTGAATCTCCTTCAGAAAACAGTGATACTAGCTAAAAATCGAAGTTTACATTCCATCTTCAAAATGAGATACTCGCAAGAATGCCAAAAATTCAGCACACCCTTCTCAAGTAACAGTCCTATTCTTGAGGGAGACTGGAGATTGAGAGTTGTGGAATTTTCCACCCATATATCCTTTTATTTTCAGTCTTCTTTCCCCCAAAGTGTCAATTGGCTTCTCTCACAGTCACAGCTGTACAAGTCACAGGACTTTTTTTAAATTGGCATAAGGCATATACATTATTCATCAATTCGGTTTCATCTGAAGTGAATCCAATAAAGAAGCACTTTTGTTTTCCAATGAAATATTTAAAACTGTTTTTTCCCCACAAGAGACTAAGCAGAAAACTCGATCCATAATCTATGTAAGTACAAAACAATTTGCCTTATCAATGCATGCGTGAATTGGACTTTATTAAAATGTAGGCCTGTTTTTTTCCTTTTACACTTCATAGTACTCATGCATAAATACGTAACAAATTCAGTGTTATTTTTTCATTTGTGGAGTCTTATGTACCCAAATATCAAGAACATTCTGTGCTTTTTCCTGGCAAATACTGACTTAAAAGGACACTTTATTGACATTTGTGCTACATCCTTGATAGAAAGCATGTACATATTGCAGAATTTGTTTTCTACCGATTGTAAATACAGTGAAGCAGAAAATTCAAGTGGTTGTTTGAAGTAATTACCTTGCCTGTGGGTTATTGATTGAAGGACCCAGGTTCAGGTCATCCTGACTCTCACTTAGCAGGTTCTTCTGTCACTAATAAAAAAAAAATTATGCCAAGCTCAACACACGCACACCTTCATATTCCAGAGAATCCAGCTCTGATAACAAAAGGGAAAGGATGTTAATATTAACACTAAGATGATGTTAGCTTTTGCTCTAACCACAGAGATTAATGTATCTGACACCAAGATAATCCTGTTCTCTTCCACAAGAGTTCACCACCCTCTACTCTGAAAATAGTTGTAGAAGATACAGAGTAGCCGGAAGAAATAGCCACCTGTCCCCACCTACCCCAAGTCCACGTATTTCACCCAACTCTCCACAACTGAAGAAATAAGTCCTTAAATAGTCATGATCAACTACAACTCAAAACCCTGAGCCAGTAAAGAATCATGTGAAATTAATGCCCCCAACATGAAGATAAAAGTTACTTTATAAAAGGGATAAGCATGGCTTTACAGGCAAACCAAACTTTCTCAGCACCCCACAAGCATCTTAGGAGCCAGTACTCTCTCATCATGCATAATCATGTTGCTAGAGTCAGAAGCAAAGTATGGGAGCTCTGCCTGCAGGCAAGTGGAGACAGGGCGCAGTGGAGAGCGGGTGTGTGAGGCAGTGACGAGATGAACATGCCTCCCTGCTGAATTCATAGGGAAGATGCAGTCACTCGTGTGAGACTTAACCCCTTCGAGTGGAAATAGGCGCACATGTAAACAACTGTGTCTATTTCTTTCATTATTCGTCCATTCTACATGGTTTGAAATTTTCTTTTATCCCAACTCGGGTTTGTTTCAAAGCTGGTAATGTACCTTATAACATGCTTTCACATACAGAAAGGTACAAATTTCAAAATCTTTCATTGTTTTTGAAAAACTCATTGATTCTGAGTCAAGGAATTTATGTTTGCAATGATTCCCTTCTGAACTGCACCAAAGAGTAGCACTAAGCTCACAGCTAGGCATCTTGAACAACAGATGGGGAGGCTTTCTGGGACTTCATACTTCAAAGGTGCTGAGGAGGGGGCGACTCACACCACCTGTGGAAAGCACCCTCCACCTAAACACACACAACGCCTGGGGACCAACTTCAGCACCGTGCCTGTCCCCTGAGTCCCCTGAGGCTGGGTTCGCAGCTGCAGGTACGAAGGCTTTGATGTTTACCTGGTAATGTTACCCACTGTCCCTGCACCATTCCAGGTTGCGTTCAGGTTCATTTCAACCTGGATTGATCTGGATAAATACGCTGGGGTAAATAGCTGGGGTGAGCTCCCGACCTCCTATTCCTTAGAGGAGGACTTTGTCTCACCTGTGACATAAGGGTTTGTAAAACAAATATTTTAAGAAGTAATGTGGAAGAAGGGAGGAGGTCAAAGGAAGGAGTAGTTACTTAGCTTCCCTGTTCTCCCCCCAGTAAGTAGAAACATTTTAAAAGATTAGTACATTTTATGTTTATATATAAATAAGATAGTGATACATTACATTTATTTATCCCTGGGGTTAAGTAGCAGAGAAGAGTAGAACAGGGCCAGAGAGAATAGCCCAGATCCATAAGATAAAGATAGAACATGGTAAACTCCTAAATGTATAGGACTAGAGTGAACCCCAAGCTGAACAGCTCACCCTAATTGCTTGTGATGTAAGAAACTGATGTTCAAAGAGATAAGAATCTTTACCAAAAAGCAAAGAATTGAACAACTAGTTATTATACGAAAATAATCATGATAAACATTCTAATAAAAAATACAAAGAATATTTACTGGCATTTGCTTGCCTGAAGCAAGTTACTTAACCTCTCTGGGTCTCAATTTCATTGGGTAGAAAATTCAGATACTGGAAACTGTCTCATAGGGTTGCTAAGAAAATCTAATCTCTTAGTACTTATAAAGAACCTTTAAAAAAAACTGAAAAGTGTTTGCTAGATATCAGCTATCATATTATTATTATTAACATTACTATTGATAATTTAGAAAAATTTTTTCTCAAATAATTGAGCTGTGGCTAATGCACTGGAAGACTCAACTCCCTGTACACCAGCATGTCACAGTGACACATAGATCTGTTAGGAAAGACAGAGTGGACACAGCTCAGCTTTCACTCAGGGCCAAACAAAGGAGGCAGCTGGGGAGAAGCCTCACTTCCCCAATTAAGAGTCTATCATTTTTGAAAATACTAAAGCATCAATTTTCATGTCACACTAAAGAACTCCAAGAATGAAATTTAAGCTCAACATTTCTCAAATCCCAGTTTTTGTCTTTTGGGAGCCTGGACTCTCACTTGGTAGTTTCTAAATCTGGTGTAAATAACTATTCACCTGAATTGCTCTCAAAATTAAAACTACTTGAAAAACTTTTGAGTTACAAAAGTTACAGAGAATCATATATTCTTTAAAAGCAGAGTCATTATAATTATAAAACTTTTTCTTATCTTGAAATCACTGGAGGGGTAAAAAAAAAAAAAAAAGAAGTCATTCCTGATTTCTTCCAAGAATTTTGTACTGACCACAGAAATGAAATCCATTACCAGAATATTCATAAAAAATGTGCTCAAAAAAATGAGCCCTGAGCTGAGAACTGGAGGTTGGGGGTCCAGCCCTCCTTCCTTTCTCATAGGCACTTCTCGGGGTTCTGGGCACATCATTTAAACTTCCTGGCACCCAGTTTCCTTGCCTATAAATCGCTGGGTGCTTTAAAGGAGCTCTCCCCTCTAATTCCATAACCCTCAAGTCATGTATATGGTTGGATGAATCTGTGAGTCATTAAAACTTAGTACATTTTAGAAAACTGTTTGATAAAATATGTCATAAGCAACTCAAGAGATTCAAGGACTAAATCCCAAAACATTGCACAACCATGCTGAGGCAAAGACTTCAAACCTAAGAAGAACATCTTGGCACTGTCTCACCCTTCTGCAAGGGAGTAAACCCACGGTCACACTTCTTTTCACATCTTTCATTGACTTTTGGGAGCACTTAACAAATGGAAAAGGGTACAGCACCTTGCAAAATTAAATGAAAGCATAAAAGGATGCTACGTTTCTACATTTTCAGCCTCAAAATACTATGAGGTTTTTTTGGTTTTTGTTTTTTGTTTTAGCATTCCTTTCCCACAAATCAAAGTAACAACTTCATCAATTAATTTGGGCCCAGGAATTATTGTAACCATTTTGCAAGTGATGTCTGGGAGGCAAAATAATAAAGTAGCCTACTTTCATTAGGGCTGATGTTTCACACACTTGGACCCTCTGAGTTTGACCCAGCCTCAGAATGACCAGCACACTACTGTTTGTGTGCAAAATGAAAGCCGAGGTAGCCCTCCAATGCCTGCCTCAACTCCCTGTCAAGAACAGAAAGCTCACCAGGTACTGGAGTGCACGTCTGTAATCACAGTACTCTGGGAAGCTAAGGGTCACAAGTCCCAGCCCAGCCAGTGTAATTAATGAGGTAGCCAAAGTGTCTCAAAACTTAAAAAAAAAAAAAAGATTCTAAAGGGCTGGAATGTGTCTCATGGAAAGTTCTGAATTAAATCTTCAATACCAGGAAAAAAAAAATCAGAAAGTTCTCCTCCCACTCATCACTCCCTGGACACTCCTGGAGGACAAAATTGAAGTAGTTCCTTCCTTTTAAAGACCTATGGAAAAATAAAGTTTCCAGATAGAAACAATGGACTTACTGGTGACTGAATTAGCCCCTGCTTCTCACGCTTTGTGACTTTTAACCATAGATGTTTTTCCTGTAATTTAGTAGCTGCTTTGAGAGAGCTGTCCAGAGCACTTTTACCAGGGCTATTTTTTCAATCTAAAATTTTGGTAAACACTTAGTTTATTTAAAAAGGGAAAGAGGAGGAAATCATATCTTAGAGAGAAAAATCTTACAAGATGCTAACATTTTGTATATGTAAGGTTAATTAGGAGGATTTGAGAACTATAACCCTCTCCATTGTGACTGAGAAATGACTAATTTCAAGTCACAAATATAGGTTTCTGAAAACAAAGTGTATTTTACATAAGTGATTTCGCAGCCCTGTTGGTGGAAAAAAAGGCCACAAAGCATTTGGGGCGACTGCTCTGGGTCTGGTGGTAACTGGAATCCAGTAGACTCACTGGGCTGAGCAGGGAAAGATCACACAGAGACTAGCATCAATAAAAACACGCCTGTGTTTGCATAATATTCATGCTTCTACCCTCACAGTGGCTGCATCTCATTTAGTCTCCAAACCAAACAGCATAGGCAGCTACTCCCTGTGGTACACACAGGACATTGTTCCTTTTGCCAGTTTATGGAGCACTGTTGTTTTTCTTCTGATGATTGAAGCAAAATGAGCACAGCTCTGAATCTGGGGCTCCCTTTTCATTTCATTTAGAACGGAAGGTAGCAGCAGCCTTATGTACCCATTAACCTACTGCCAATCCACAAATACTGACACGATATAATGGATAATCCACTCTATTAGACAACTAACAGGCCCTAAACCCAAGCAAGACAGAGTCTAAGTTCCTAAAAGGTTAAATCAAGTGAGTAGCTGCTGTGATGGGACTGTAGGGAGGGAAATGACAGATCCTCAAATTACTGTTAAGAATCAAAGTTTGTTTTCAGTGTACCTAATGCTCAATAACATAGTTTAAAAATTGGGAACTATATTTCTCTTGAAATTTTCTGCACCTTACTATGGCACTTAAAATAATTTAAAAATAAAAGTAGATGTACTTTGAAAATTCCAAAAATAGTTGATTATTAAATCAAAGAAATAAGAAGTTATTTCATGAAGGATCAGTAGAGATGTGTCTTGAATATTTGTATATGTAAAATATCTACTTCATAATTTAAAATGGCAATTTTACAAATACTACTTTACTTCTTAAGATGAAACAAAGGTAGCCCCTCCATGCAAGAAGCTCCTCATGAGCAAGGGTAAGGTCCAGAAGCCCCAGGCAATTTTCCTGCACACAACAGAGGTTAGTGAACATTTACTATGCTCCAGGTATGAAGCAGAGGATTCTGAAGCTCAGATACGTCACACTGTCTGGAAGAAAGGTCAG